CTGCCTGGATCAGTTATTAAAAACCGGTTATAAAATCTTCATCTATCAATTTATCTTCTGCAGAACAATATTAATATTAATTTCACTTTGAATCAATCACTTTATGTTTATTCAAAAATGTCATTTTAATAAAGTATTTGAAAGGATATATTTCTGAAGTATTAAAAATTTTCACTTCGTATTATCAAAATCAATCATCATGAAATACAGTAAATTAATAAATTCTTTCAATATTTGTACCTCTATGAGAAATTTTCTGTAAGGTGCAAACTGTTTATGATAAAAAGTGGCTCAGGGGATATAGGCTTTCGCCTTCCATTGATGTAATCCTGGTTCGAAACCCAGAGGTTGCTGCTTGATACAAATTCTGCTCCCTGATCATACCAATCACTGTGCTGGCAGTTAAATATTCTCAGTTTAGACGGATCATGGGTTGGAAACCCTTTGCCGTCGGGTTTACCTTGAGAGGTTTTCGTGATTTTTCTTTCGATGTAGCACAAATGCTGGTTAGATCCATCAAAAAGTACTCTGAGGAAGCTAGTTTTTACACTAGTTTAGTTTGTTTATTGTCTTTGTACATTGCGCAATGTTTTCAATTTCAACCCCCTCTAGACACTATGGATATTTGTTTGCGATCCCATATTCCTATGGGATTTTTAAAAATTCTTTTTATGTGTCTAAATTGCCCTTACGTTAGGGCAACGATTTTAATGATTATCCTAAATTATTGAATAGGAAATACTTTTGCTGGTATTGCCTTTTACTACTTTTTTCGATTTCAAAAAACTCTTTATTTACCATATAATTGAAAATAAATTGTATTATATAATTGTGAAATTATATTATAGATTTCTTGATATAAAAAATAATGAAATAATAACACAAATTTAATTGAAAGAAATAAAACGGCAAAAAATAAAGCAATTGACAAACAGATATAAATTCCCTTAATAGATTAATATTAATTTCATCTCAACTCGGTCACTTTAAGTTTATTGAAAAAAATCAGTTTAATAAAGTATTTGAAAGGATATATTTCTAAAGTATCGAAAAATTTCATTTCGTGTTATTTATTTGATACAAAATCAGCCATCCTGAAATGCAGTAGATTTATAAATTCTTTCAATATTTGCACTTCTGTATGAAATTTTCGGTTAGGTGGAAACAGTTTATGAAAAAGAGTTCGAAATTCCAACTCATATTTGTTTTTCGCATATGATATTTATTTTTTTACTTCTTTTGAACTTAAAGTTTTTGATTTTAGGCGTACAAATTTTGTGAATAAAATATGATCTGATAAGAAAATATGATCTAATAGGATCAATGATTGCTACCGTTGGCAGTAGAATATTACTTTTCTATGACAATTCTAAATAGTAACAATAATAATATTAAAAATATCGGATTTTTAATCTAAATTTATTAAATTTAATAGTTTCTTTTCCGTGAAACATAAAAAAAGTAATCTAATATATACATTTCCGTAATTGATTGCGTCCAATTAAAATAATTAAATTTTAAAATGATCGCAATTTAGTATTAAATCGATAGTAGTAACAGAATTAAAAATTACGAGGCTACGGAGTTGAACAATAATTGTCGCAAATCCAAAAATTGGGTCGGCTGTTCAACGACGGTTATAAAAAAATACTATATACAAATTGAGAGCTCGTCTTTTAATGAATTACTAACAATGAATTACAGTCACCCAGGTACGAATTCCAGCGATGGCTCGTCGATATGAATTCGGCACTTGGATCGCACCAACCTCTGTGCTGACGTAAAATACTATCCGTGGTAGACGGATCATGGGGTAAAGTCCCCTTGACGTCAGGCTAACCGGTGGAAAGTTTTCGTGGTTTTTCTCTCTATGTAACGAAAAAGAGGGTTAGTTCCAACAAAAAGGAAAATTTCTCCCAATATTTGATCTACGAGTTCCCTTGTCTTCTGCATTGGGTTCAAAATTACAGGGCAACAGAATTGAACATTGGTAGCAGTAAACACGAAACTGGTTTGGCTGTTCAACGTCGGTTTTAAAATAAAATACTATAGAACAGATGAAATAACTCAGATTTCGTTCATTTTAACAATACTATAAGAGAAATAACTCGTATTTAAGATATAAATAATTTACATGAATCTAAATTAAACAAATAAATTATATTTCTAGCTAAAATAAACAATAAAATAAATAATATAAAATAAACAATAAAATAAATAATATAAAATAAACAATAAAATACAGTTTATTATTTTCTTTATTAAAAGTCTTTGTTAGTTTTGTATAAATGAATCAAACATGTGCAAATTTTTTTGCGTGATTCTAAAAGAATTATTTTAACCATAATGGAAGAATGTTTGCTATAAATTCGTAAATCGCATTTTACCGCGGAGGCTTTTTGATAGGATTAATAACAGAGAGATTAAGTTGTTCCGAATTTTTTTTATTTTTTTATCTTAATGGTTCAGAAAAACAGCCTGGCTTAGCGGATAAACTCTTATAGAACCGATGTTTGCAGGAAATAAAATAAGAAAAGCTTTTTCGAAAAACTTTTTTTTAACGAATGAAGAAAAAATGACCTAAGTTTGCGAATATATTTTTAATTGGTTATAATACGCAAGTGCAAACTGATTTTGTATTGATATTGTCAGCAATGCATGCATTAAATTTTCTATACAGTTTTAATATAGGTTGTTTGTAAACGTTTATAATGGGTTTATCATAATTATATGAGTTAATCACCGGATTATGTTTTCGATATACAGGGTGATTCATAAAAGATGGGCAAAATTTTAGGAAGTGACAGTACACGCCCAAACAAATTTTTTATCAAAGAATGCATGGTCGAAAAAAAAAACGCAAAGTAGCTGGCGCATTTGGAAAGTTATTTCATGCAAACGAGAAAGCTTCATTCCTGTTGCGAGTTACCGCGCTGCGAGTTATTATTTGCATGTTATGGGAAGAAGAGCATTTAGCTTGGCCACCACGCTCGCCAGATCTTTCATGTCTCGATTTCTTTCTGTGGGGGCAGCTGAAGGCTCTTATGTATAAGACTACCATTGAATCTGCAGAAGAGCTTGTCTCCAAGCTTTCGGCCGCTGCAGGGGAAGTTCGCGATATGCCTGGTGTGTTTCAGAATGTTCGCCAACCTTTTCTTCGCCGTTTTACTGCGTGCTTAGCCGCTGCCAGTCACTGTTTTGAACGCGTATTGTAATCACATGCCATTAAATTTGCTTTCATGACTTAACTTCATCGCTCTTTGTGTGTTTTTGCCTCATATAAGAACATAACTTTTGACTCCCTCTAACGGTTTTGGGCTTTGTTTTCGATCATGCATTCTTTGATAAAAAATGTCTGTTTGGGTGTGTACTATCACTTCCTAAAATTTTGCCCATCTTTTATGAATCACCTGTATATATATATATA